AAGACTGGGCCCGAGCATGAGTCTGAGTCTAATACTAAGTCTAAGCCTAAGCCTAAGTCTAAGCGTAAGCGTAAGCCTAAGCTTAAACCTAAGACTAAGCCTGAGCCTATGTCCGCCCCTAAGCCTAAGTCTAATCCTAATTCGAATCCTAAGCTCGAGGCTAAAGTCAGCTAGAAAGAAATATAAGCCTATAGTACCATATAAGCTTAAAATAAGCCTAAAATGCCATATAAACACAAAATAAGCCTAAAAACCACATAAACCTGTTATAAGCCCAAAGCCACTACCACGATAAATAAAATTTAAATAGTGTAAATGCGAGAAACCCATTGAATTCCCGTTAATATTGTTCAAACAAATGACTCGAAAAATGTTTTCGAAGAGGACACTTCAACTTGTCATTACAAATAAACAATCCACTGATAATCAACTTTATCGTACGTTCTTATAGACAAATTATGTAAGCCTAGAAGATCAGATAAGCTTAAATTAGACATACGAAATGTGTGAGTGCTTACTTTTTGAATGTTATTTATATAAGCCTAAAGCATTTAAGCCTAAATAAGCCTAAAATGCCGAAGAAGCTTAAACTAATCTGAAGATACCATAAACGCGTAAAATAAGCCTAACACATGATAAAAGCATAAAATAAGCCCAAAATACTATAAAAGCCTGAAATAAGCCTACAATAACATAAAACCCTAAAATAAAATAAAAACCTAAAATAAGCCTAAAATACCATAAAAGCCTAAAATAGGCCTAGGCGAACATAATACTAAAAAATAAGCCTAAACCACCATAAAAGCCTAAAATAAGCCTAAAATAGCATAAAACGTCAAAATGAGCCTAAAACACTATAAAAATCTAAAATAAACCTAGGCGAACATAATAACAAAAAATAAGCCTAAACCACCATAAAAGTCTAAAATAAGCCTAAAATACCATAAAAGCTTAAAATAAGCCTAAGCAAAACAACAATAACTCTAAAAATTTAGTTTTTGTTATCTTTTCTTTCAAAAATCTCTAAAAATTCTCGGAAAAAACATCTTTCCCCTCTTTTTCCCTGCGGCAAAACTTTTTTACCCAACAAAATAAAATGTAAAAATCCTTGTAATCCGGAAAGGCAGAGCTCGAAAGCAAAGTTTAAGTCAAAAAAAGGCTCGGGATTAAAATAATGCAAGGAAAACGGCACTTTTCGTCTTTGAAATGCCTAAAATGCGTTAATAATTGATGTGATATGGCCCGCCGATAAGCCGTTTTTGGCCATGAAACCGAATTTTAAAGACTTTGAGGAATTTGAAGGAGTTGTATGATGTTTTAGATAGAGAAAAAATTTTAGGAGATTTTAAATAATTTAAAGAAATTTTAGGAGATTTCAAATATTTGAAGAAATTTTATGAAATTTCAAATAGTTTGAAGAATTTCAGGACATTTCAGGCAGTTTGAAGGAATTTTAAATTTGTAAAAGAATACAAAGACATTTTAAAGCCTGTCAACAAAGGCTGTATAGTGTTTTTGACAGTTTTTAGATTAAAAACGGCAGATCTTTAAGAAAAAATGTGAGCTCTTTTTAGATAAAAATGAAATTTTAGGTAACAAATTTTAAAACTTCTGAGAAAAAATGAGCAATTAGGCTTAGAAAAAGTAGGAAAGCGACATAAAAATAACTATTGGTAACTAAAGTAAAAAAATAAAAAAAATAAAATTTTAGGTAACAAATTTTAAAACTTCTAAGAAAGAACGCGCAGGTAGGCCATAAAAAATCAACATAAAAATAAATATTCGTAACTAAAGCAAAAAATTTAAAAAATTTTAGGTAACAAATTTGAAAATTACAAAAAATATAATTTTAGGTAACAATTTAGAAAAAATATTTCAAAAACTTATGAATAAGTAAATACGAGTATTTAAAAAATATAAAATTGGAAAACAAATTTTAAAATTTGAAAAATATAACTTTAGGTAACAATTTTGAAATAATAGTAAAAAATTTATAATGTTGAACTCCAGGAGGCCTAAACTCAACATAACAGTGAATATAATAGATTTTAATCAAAAAACCTTAAAAATGAAATTTTAGGTAACAAATTTTGAAAAAATACCAAATTTTGACGCAAAAAGTTAAAAAATCAAAAATTTCAAAAATTTGAAGAACAATAGCTTCGAAACCGATTAAAAAGCATATTTCTGTGACAAAACAGATAAAAGATGTCAGAACTGACCCAAAGGGCGAATAATTGTCAGTTGGCAGAACAATAAAAACCGAGGAAATCGAAGTGCTTTATCTTTTCGACCTATCTCAAAGTGTGAAATTAAAAGATTTGTGGCCGGAGAGGTGGAAAAAAATAAATGTTGCGGATTTTAGGCTTAAAATTTAAAAAAAGGACTTCATAGAAAAAATTGTTAAAATAAAGGGTAGGGCGGTGCATTTTTAAAAGTTTTTAATCGGGGCAGGGGCGAGGGAGGGGATAAAAAATTTTTTTTTTCAAAAATTGATTTATTTTTAAAATTTAATCGAAGTGAAGGGCGGGGTAAATTTTTTTTTCAATGAGGAGTGCATCCCCCCCCACCCCTTTCATAAAAATTGGAAGCCCAGCCCTGTTAAGAATACCCACTATTTTAAAGTTAATGACACTCACAGAAGTATGCAGTAAAACAAAGAGTAGCACATCGTGACATAAAAGAAAGAAAGAAGGGCTTCTGTCTTCAGATGATTGCCCACTTCATCTAATCTCATAATGCCTCAAGACATTCGAAGCCATAAAACTTTTCTTTTCTTTTTTTAGGCTAATTAAAAATGAAAAAAAATTTTCTTTTTTTTTAATTTAAGCACAAATATTCGCCCAGCCTTAGTCTAAACATGGTGTAATAAACTTAAAATATGTATTGCTAAGCCTAAACATTAAGTAATAAGCCTAAAATGTGTGCTGATAAGTCTAAACATTACGCAATGAGCCTAAATTGTGCGTTGATAAACCCAAAATGCGTGCTGTTAAGCCTAAATTGTGTGCTGCTAAGCCTAAATGGGGTCCTGATAAGCCTAAACATTACGCAAAGAGCCTAAATTGTGTGCTGCTAAGCCTACAATGTGTCCTAATAAACCTAAAAATTATATAACAAGATTAAAATATTTTCTGCTAAGCCTAAAAATGATTTAATGACACAAAAAAAAGTGGTAATCCTAAAAAAGTTTTACCCTACACCAGCTTACCCTACCTACCCTATGCATTTTTTTCTAGCTTATTTTACTTTTACCCTACCCTTCCCGCTAATATGTCAAAAACATAAGTATTGTTTTAATACCTAAAATAAGCTCAAAAATTAAATCGAAGGTTTATTTTCCGATTAGTCATTAAAACGCGACAAGTTTTTTTCACTGATTAGTCGATGAAAAGCGACAAAAAGACCCCAAAATTTGTAATTTAGGTAACTAATGGAAAAAAAACCCCTTCTTGTTCCGTTTTTCAGATAACCATGGAGACATTATTTACTTTAATATCTTGAGAATATTTATGAAGATTCTTTCCTTCAAGCTTCTTGAAGCAAATTAAGTCTTGTCGCTATTTTACATAATAATCAGTCTTATTTGACGACAAAACTTTTGAAAGGTGCAAGCAAGATATTAAAAAGTCATCAAGTACTATACTAAAACCCCAGGTGCAACATTAAACGCTTTAAACGGTCACAGTGATACAAACTCTTCCCTTGCTATATTACACATTGTGGTGATATATGATCAAGTACCACAAAAAACATGAATGTAATATAGCGTACAAAAACTAACGCAAAATGTCAATTTTGGTAGACTTTCAGCATCTGTATTGGCCGTTATTGTAGCTCCATTACTCGTCGAGTTACAGTGATACAAAGTCTTCTCTTGCTATATTACACATGATGATATACGATCGAGTATCACAAAAATTCTATGTATAAAAAAGTGCTCAAAAACTATCATAAAATGTCATTTTTGATAGGCTTTCAGAATCTGTATCGACCGTTATTGTAGCTCCATTACTCGTCGACTTACAGTGATATAAATATTATTTACTATATTATACAGGGTGAATATACTAAAAACTCCAAGTACTAAATAGCATTGAATTTACTTTAAATTCGAAAAATGTCGCAAAATATACAGTAAAATGGGAACAAAGTAGACACAAACAAAATAAGTTAGTTACGAAGAGATCAGAGATGTCGAAACAGTCAGAGATGGTAGCTAAAACAATATGCGAGATCTAAAAGTCGGTACAACTGGGAATGTAAGTGATCAGTTGGGTCAGAAATTTACATACAATTTTTGGAAAAGGCTATAGTTGATTTGTAACAACATTTTAAGCCTAAAATCTGCTATTTATAGAATTTTAGACCAAAAATGATGTTACTGTGCCCTACTACGATATTTTTTTGAATCCTACAAAATAAAATTTTTTAAAATTTAAAAAGTTATTAAAACCAATTAAAAATAATCTCTCTAGTTCACATTTTAAAGGCCCGTACGTATTTTTAATTATAAACTACAAAAAATAAGGTCAAAAATTCAAATTTCAGATTTCCCGCGCAAATTGGCATTACCCCAAATTAACTCATTTTTTAAATTTCTTTATTGGAATACGTTTTAGTGCCAATGGTGTTTAACTATGTCAAATTTCAAGTCATTTCAACGGGTATATCGTGTTAAAATGGCATACAACAAAAACACCCAAAATTTAAATTTCAAAAATTTAAAAAAAATACTTGTCTTAACTTTTCAACGCTGTTTCTTCACAAAAGTACTAGTTAAAGCATGTACTATCTTCATGCAAATTTCTTAGAATATCAAAAATTTCAATATGTAGGATCGATATTGTAGTAGGTACTCTAATATCAAGTAGTTAAAAACCACAAAAATTTTTAAAAAAACTTAAAAAGTTGTTAAAATAAAGATACAAAATGACACTAAAACATTATAAAAAGTGAATCTCTCTAACAGTGACAAGATAAAGCCTCTAAAGCCGGCTTCAACCGAACCGGAACATTGGTAGATCGCCGACGTTCTGAATCTGGTACATTTGCTCCTGTTCCGGTAGATTCCTCGAAAACCGTGCCAAATGGTCAGGTGACCGTTTCCGTATTACTGTATCGTCAGAAGGCTCAAAAAGGTCCCGTCGATTCCTTGAGGGAATCACCACGATTGGAAGTTGATCGTCTTCAGCTGATTGGAAAAGAGAATTCGCTTCCAACGAACCGAGCTGTGGGCCAAGGTAGTCTGTTGGGGCTGAAAATGATGGTAATTAGTATAGAAATCATCCTTTGTAAAAAAATTTTGATTTAAAAATTTTTTGTTTTTTCAGAATATTTTCCAAAAAATTATGATAATATAAGCCTTAAGCCTAAACGAAGATTAATAAATGGAAAAAGCAAAAAATAAGCCTAACATATGACATAATCAAGCCTAAAAGGAATTGTAAGCTTGTAATAAGCCTAAAAGATAATATAAGCCTACAAGAAATTCAAAACACCGCATAAGCCTAAACTAAGCCTAAAAAGCAAGCAAGTCAACCTACATCAAACATAGAAGACCAAACAAGCCTAAAATAAGCCGAAAACAATAAGACAAGCCTAATAGAAATCTAAAAGCTTCTTAAGCCTAAACAGACCTAAAAAGTAAATAAACTTGAAATAAGCCTAAAAGTCCAAATAAGCCTAATATAAGCCTAAACGGCCAAATGCACCTATATTAAGCCTAAAATGTAGTCTATATTCCCAGAACTTTTGAAACCTTTCCAATTGTCTTTAAAAATGCAAGTACTCTCTTCGATGATTAATAGTTCCGAGTGACAATTGAGGTACTGAATAGCATTTCAAATTAATGTACTTATTGAGATAAGGACTTTAATGACTAATTAAGCAACTTTTTGTTAAAGGATGTTCTTTAGTAACCTAGTTTCTAATTTTAAATAGTAGTAACAAGCGTGGGATCGGGTTTGGTGATACAAATAGTACGTACTATTAAATATAAGATCGTACTTTATAGTACTACGTTATAAGATTGTACATAGTATTAGGTGCCGACATAAAGAACCCGCCATACATTCCCTGTAATTTCCTGTAAAAAATTGAGGGTTCTTTATGTCGGCACCTAATATAATTTTACAGTACTGTACTTTTGATGCTATAACATGGTACCATATTTTTGATGCTATATAGCACTACCTTATAGTATCTGATACAGTGGAACTCCTGTATAACGAACTCCTCTATAACGAAACTCCCGTATAATGAACAACTTTCAAATTCCCGTTTACCACTGCACAGTGCATTTAAAACTCCTGTATAACGAAACTCCTTTATACCGAACAAATTTCAGGTCCCCGAGCGATTCTTTATACAGGAGTTCCACTGTAGTTCTAGGGTTGAATCAAAAGTAGCGGCACACTTCAGTTGACAAATGATTGAAAAGTGTCCCGCTACTCTTGGGTCAATCTAATAATACGAAAAAATAGTACCATTCAGCACTATAAGATATATAGTACTATAAAAATCAAAAATGTCTTACAAGCCTAAAATAAGCCTAAAAATGCTCATAAGCCTAAAAATAAATTCAAAATTCAATAATTCGCTTATACAGGGTGCGCCAAAAGTCCCCGGACTAAATGACAAATTTAGTGAACCACTTCAACAATGTCACCCCTACGTTAACATCGTTCTTTAATGTCTATATTATGTTATACATTGTCATTACTACTTTTATATCTTTTCAATTCATTGTAATCCAAAAACAATGACATTTCTATTTCATTGTCCATAAAACATTCCCAAAATTTCTTTTTTTAACCCAAATTAATGGTTTGATGTTATTTTAGGCTCGGCAAATGATTAAACGCCTCGGGCAAAAAGAAGAAAAAAGAACGAAATTGATAGGCAGGTACAGTTTAACACTGATATCACTCTTTGTTTTTGCTTTTGCTAGCAAAGTGCATGATAGGCTATGGTAATGAGTCATCTATTAGGTGCCGACATAAAGAACCCGCCATTTTTTGCAGGAAATTACGGAAAAAGTATAGCGGGTTCTTTATGTCGGCAGTTAATAATTGGGAGTTTGGCAGTAAATATCATCAAACTGCATTTTTATAAAACTTTTTAAAATTTTAATATGAAATAAAAAAAATTTTCAATTTGAAAATAATTTTTTTTATAAATTTTTTAAAAATTTTATATTTTTTTAAATTTTATTAAAAAATTTATCATTTTTAAAATTTTTTTATCATAAAATTGTAAAGTAAACAAGTTATGACCAATACCAGGCACGATGATGCCATCAAAAGATTTACATAGTAAATTAGATATAAATTTTAAAATAATAATCAAAGTACTTAGTCAAAAATAGCACAACCACTTCAAAAAGTCAAATTTATTTCAAAAAATTTTTAAATTCAAGAAATGTCATTTTATTTTGATCTTTTACATTATTTGATTAAAATAGTATTAGTATGTAGCTAACCAGATTACGTAAAAACAAAAGTTATTTACCGTTTTTATGACCTAATTTGATAAAAAAATTAATTTTGAACATTTTCACGTTTTTTACTGTAATTTTATTGTAAAACAAAAAATTGATAGATTATAGTTCAAAATGTGACTTATTGTACTTTTTTAGAGCATATACAATGAAAAAAGATAGAATGAGAGTATATGTTGAGCTCAAGGTAAGAGGGGGGGGAGCAAAAAATAGCAAAAATCATGTTTACCCTACCCTACCCTGCCCTACCCTAACCTAACCTACCATACCCTACTCTACTAACTCCTTCGTAGTCTCCCTTACTCTGCCCTAATCCTAGTTTTACTGAATTCTAGCTTTGCTTGCTTTAGCTCTATCTTGTTTGAAAACCGCAATAACTTCTTTTCAATATTTTTTGTAATATAAGCATTTTAAAATTAAAATTAATCAATTCTGAATCAAATACGAACTGCTGTTAATTTACCATTTTGTGTTTTTACTGTTTACTCTGCTAATATTCACTGTTTTCATTACATATTAGTTATTAAAACTCACACCAAAAACCAGTAAGTCACAAAAACTAATGTAAGTTAACTAATTTACAATAGCGAACGTAAAGTAATGTAAAATATCCAATTTACAAGAGCTGGTAATGTAAAATAACCAATTTAAAACAACCAAAGTAATGTAAAACAAGTCACTGAACAGTAATTACCAAAATTACAAAGATTATGCAAATGAGCTGTGACATTGTAAAACTATAGTGTTTTCTTGAGGATTTGTAAAACCGTGTTACGTATTTGTTTTTGTGTTTTTTGTAAAATACGATCATGTACTGACATCATGCGCCAAAACATGGTTGTATCTACGGATTTATGCAAATCACTTATGTTAAACATGAGACAGTTCGAAGCTGCTTTGGTTTTTTTTCTTTTAAACACGAAATTGTATTTATGATATAGAGCTTAAGACGGGTCAAGCATATGGCAAAGCAGGACAAAGGCAGAGTAAAAGAAAAGAAGGGTAGGTGAAGATTAAGTTAAGACAGGCGGAGAAATCGTAGTAGGGTAGGGTAGGGTAGGGTAGGGTAGGGTAGGGTAGGGTAGGGTAGGGTAGGGTAGGGTAGCGTAAAGTAGGGTAGGGTAGGGTAGGGTAAAGTAGGGTAGGGTAGGGCAAGGGAAAATGGTAGAAACATTGTAATTTGCGTATGTAAGCTCTAACTTTTAATTAAATGTCCTACAAAAACAATACCACAATCAAACATCTGACCCCCAATACTACTTAAACAACATTGTAAGCCACTCACCTCCATTGACGTATAATCTCATGTAGTTTCGCGTAGGCTGTGCCATAGTAAATTGTGAAAAAAGGCCGAAAAAGTGAAGTAAACTGAGCAAAAACTGTACATCTCGATTTCGAATGGGCATCATACTATCTGCCCGAGTGTTGTGATGTAGGTACCCTGAAAGAGTTGGTACTTTAATGTGGTTGGTAATAGTAAAATGAGGAGGGCGGTCGCGAAAAAATAAAAAGTAATACGGCCCTAGCCAAGCCAAGCCACGCCAAGCCAAGCTAAGCCAAGCCCAAACAAGCCATGCTAAGCTAAGCCAAGCCAAGCCAAGCCAAGCTAAGCCAAGCCAAGCCAAGCCAAGCCAAGCCAAGCCAAGCCCAGCCAAGCCAAGCCAAGCCAAGCCAAGCCAATCCAAGCCAAGCAACGCTACCCAAAGCCAAGCCAAGCCAAGCCAAGCCAAGCCAAGCCAAGCCAAGCCAAGCTAAGCTAAGCCATGCTAAGCCAAGCTAAGCCAAGCAAAGTCTAACTCTATAATCAAAGAAACAGCCCAGTATTCAAAAATAGCGCAAAAAGTATGTTCGTATGTTAGCTATGTAATAGGCTGTGAGGTAGATTAAAAACAAAACGAACAGGTGTAAAACAAGTTTAAATCATCGTCTGTACACGGCAAACGTTGTCAGCGCACTATTAATATTCACAACCTTTGATTTTTAAGAATTTGAAAGGGCAATGTTTCAAATATACTTCAATATACTTCATGCCATAAGAGCGCTAAAGTAACGCTAGATGGGGCTAGCTAGTATAATATAAAGATAGAACACGACAAAAAAGTAAAAAAATTAAAAAAAAGACTTTACTGATTTAAAAAAAATCATTTTGAAAAAGTTTCAATCGAATCGAACTACTCTGATTAGACTTGAAAGAAGACTCCAAGCCCTAAAGCCGCCCGGGATTATACCAGTCCGCTTCAACTTATAAAGGTGTGGAGCCTAAAAATTGAACTTGGCTTGGTCCTTTTTCAAGTCTAGTTCTGATAAAAAAACTTTTTTTGGATCTAAGATTTCAATTTTAAACCGTACTAAGCATATAACCCCCCCCCCAACATAAAATTTGTACTATACATATAACCACCCCAACTCAAAATTTCTACTGAACATATAACCAACCCCAACCAAAAACTTCTAGTAAACATATATCCACCCCCGAATCAAAACTTATACTAAGTAGATAACCACACCCAAGCCAAACTTTCAACAAAACATATAACAACCCCCAACTCAAAGCTTCCACGAAACATACATCCACCCCCAACCCAAATCTTCCAATCTATAATACTCAAAAACATCTTTAAAAACATTTTGAAATTTCATAAAGTTTTAGCAAAAAACACCTTTTTTTTAAATTTTGTTTAAAAGGTCATAGCAACAATATTGGTCATTATGCTATTTTCAATGTTATATTCATAAACAAAACATTTTAAACTTGTAAACATGTTTTCAACTAAAACTTTTTAGCCAAAACGGCTCATTCAAAATTTAAAAAAAAGCTATTACTTTTTTACTGTAAAGAAAGTTCTTGCCATTTTATAGTTTGTAAAGAAGGTTTTTGCAATTTTTTGTTTTGTAAAGAAAGTTCTTGCCGTTTTTTATTTCGTAAAGAACGTTCTTGCCATTTTTTTTGTAAAGAATGTTCTTGTCATTTTTAAGCTTGTAAAGAAAGTTCTTGCCATTTTTGCACTGTAAAGAAAGTTTCTTCCAAAAAATCCAAACCTTCACCCGCACCCTGATCCCACTCCCAATTCCCCTCCAAACCCCATTTCCTAGCCTTCAAACACCATCTCCTAGCCTCCAGACGCCATTCCTTCCTCTCCAGATGCCATTTCTTCCCTTCCGGATGCCATTCCGAGGGTGGGGTCAAATGAATTTGTTAGAAAAATAAATAAATTAGGCCCCGCCCCTTTTGTGCACTCTTTTTTTTGACCAAAGAATTAAGATTTCGTGTGGGAAATCCGCCGAATCCGTGATGAAGCCGGCACCGTGAACGGGGAGAAAACACTGTAAACACATTCGGGCTTCTATTTTTGGACCGTGACGTGCTATTTTTAAAACTTTGATTGAATTTTTGATTTTTTTCGAAATTTGCGTCAGAATTTGAAAAAAAATTAACAGGGAAAGTATAAGGTTTAGGCCTATTAATCTTAGGCTTAGCAGGCTTTGGCTTAGCAGGCTTAGGCTTAGTAGGTTTAGGCTTAGTAGGCTTAGGCTTAGTAGGCTTAGGCTTAGTAGGCTTAGGCTTAGTAGGCTTAGGTATAGTAGGCTTATTAGGCTTAGTAGATTTAGGCTTAGCAAGCTTAGACTTAGTAGGATTACCGTAGTAGGATTAACAAGCTTAGGCTTACTAGCCTTAGGCGTAACAGACACGGGGAAAGTAACCTACCTGCCCCGCTCAGAATCGGCTCAAAATTTTTATACAAACTCCTTGTTCCACCAATAGTACCCAAAAAAGGTTTTAGCTCGCGTTTTTGAGTTTTAAACTTAAATTATTTTATTTTCCCGCCAATTTGGCAAAGTTGGCATTCTGTTTCAAGCGCTTTTTTCGACTTTCCAGACAAGCTACGCTTACATATTTAAAAATTTAAGTTCATTTAAAGGTATTTCACTAACATATCAAAGAAAAATGATTAAAAGTCAAAAGTCGGCAAAGTTATAAGCTTGAAACACAATGCCAATTTGTCGGAAGATTCAAAACTGAGTTTTTTGATCTCGATTTTCTCGAAATTTCCTAGAAAGCGCGATTTAGTACCGTGGTGAAGTGGTTATACTTACATGATCTTTCTATATAAAAAGTTTGAAGTCAATCAGAGCGGGGCAGGTCGAGTACTTTCCTTGTACAAAATGTAAAAAATTTCATTTTTAAATAAAAAAAATATTTTTTTTTCGATTTGCATTATAAATATTCTGAGATTTACCACGCCCTAAAAAAGTTTTTTTCCACTCCTTTGCCCATAAAAAGGTACAAAATGCAAAGTCAAACATTACATAATCAATGAACTGTCTCGACCGTCGATATTAATAACATTTAAATATTTCAAACGTCGCTTTAAGCTATTCTATTCAGAAGACAGGTTTACATAGTAAATAATTTACTATGCATGATTATAAATAACTTTTTGGGCTTAAAACTTTTTTTTCTGCAAAAACATGATAAGAACTTCCTTTATAAGTGGAAAAATGGCAAGAATTTTCTTTACAAAACATAAAATAGCAAGAACTTTCTTTACAAACAATAAAATGACAAAAACTTTTTTTACAAAACAAAAAATGACAAGGACTTTCCTTACAAAACAAAAACAGCAAGAACTTTCTTTACAAATCAAAAAATGGCAAGAACTTTCTTTACAAAACAAAAAATAGCAAGAACTTTCTTTATAAAACATTAAATGGCAAGAATTTTCTTTACAAGGCAAAATGGCAAGAACTTTCTTTAGAAAACACAAAAGAACAGACATTTCTATCCATCATATAACTTGTCACCCGCAGGCCGCAACACTCAAAAACCGGGCATATTTAAAACAATTGGTAATAACTTTCTTTCCACAAAAATGTCATCCAAATTTAAAAATTTTGGCGATTTTTCAAAATTATCCTGCATTTTTCGACTTGTGACAAAGTGTTTTATGACGTCTAGAGGTGCATTTCAAGGCTAAAGAATGTCATCGAAAATGCATGAGATTAAGGCGAAGGTGGAGGTTATTTCAGTGTCAAATATGTCAGTAGACCCAAACGTAATATTTGTACTATTTTGAGGTTTGGCCATAGATCAGGTTTGAGAAAAATTTAATTTAACAAATTTTTTAATTCAAAAAAATTATGTCCGTCGTATTTTACCTTAACATTTATCATCAAAATTTATTTTTTGTTCTGCAAATGATAGTCTTCTACATAATAACTTATAACAACTACAAACATCCCATTTCCTCTTTGTTTACCATAATTTCAATAAAGACTTCTAGAAATTGCTACCCTAACATTTCATGTTACGTGCGTTATTGTTAATCATTAACATTAGATTCAAAGCTTACTTTTAAGTTTTACTTTTAATTGTAAGTATAACTAGAAATTTTTAAAAATCAAATTTGTTACCTAAAATATTTTAAAAAAACTTCATTTTTAACAAAAAAAAATCAATAAAAATCAAAATTTGTTACGTAAAATACAAAAATCTTCATTTTCAATGCAAAATTAAAAAAATTTAAATTTAACACCTAAAATTTAAAAAAAAATCTTCATTTTTAACAAAAAAAATCAATAAAAATCAAAATTTGTTACCTAAAATTTACAAAATCTTCAATTTCAAACCAAATAATCAAAATTTTGAAATTTGTTACCTAAACTCAAAAAATTCTCCTTTCTAACGCAAAATAATCAAAAAAATCAAATTTGATACCTAAATTTAAAAAAATCTTCATTTTTTTACGCAAAATCTCAAAAAAGTTAAATTTGTTACCTAAAATTTCACAAAAATCCTTATTTTTAATGCAAAACTTACAAATACTATGAATTTATTACCTAAATTTTTAAAAATTCTCGGTTTTAATGCGATTTCAAAAAAAAATAAATTTTTTACCTAAATTTTGAAAAAAATTTTGTTTAAAATAAAAACAAACAAAATATTCAAATTTATTACCTAAACTTCAAAACCGTCATTTTCAATGCAAAATTGTAAATAATTTTCATTTTAGGTAACACATTTTCAATGTGTTACCTAAAATACAAAAAAAAAATTTGCCAAGTCCCATCCCAACATAACACTCATATACAGCCCCATAAGCAACTAAAAACAAGAAATGAAAACACCGAAAAGTAGCGTGAAGTTCTGATGGCTACAACCATATAACGGTCATATAAATACTCTTGGCAGAAAGTCATTTCCGGAAAAAACAAAAAATTTGTTTCCAAATTTTTGGCATTTTTCAAATTTTTTCGCTTTTTACTCCCTCACTTTTCACTCCGCCCTCTTGTTTGATTGCCTTTGGCGTTTTTCGAAAATTGAAATGGATAA